GTGTGAAAGGTAGCGAGAATTACATAATTCTCTTACATCCTTTCTGCATTGTAGTGTAGTTGGATTCATGTTAGACTACTTAAAACTGTTGCATTTATTGTATGTATATGCTTCGTTACAGCTTTCTTTGCATGATCATAAGTTATGCTCGGCTTCTTGCATTATTAGTTGCATTTTGCCTCTGTCTTCGGGCGCATATCTTTGTTTGAAGCTTGTATGCATTGTCCAAGTCTTCGGCCTTGTCAAAAATGGGCCGTCTCTGGGCTTTGACACTCACTCCCGTCATTGGTATGACTTTCGAGTTTTGTCAAAGAGGGGCATCTGTAGACACCCCATTTTTGACCGTCCTCAAGACTTGGACGTCACCGTTTGAACACTCGGTGATCATCCACGTTTGTGTTCGTCTTGAGTTCCCGGAGGTCTCGGCTACGCGCCTTGCCTTAGGACCTCTCGACTCGACTGTGTTGTGTTTGGTTTTACACCAAACACTTGTGTTTTTGTTTGGAGGGTAGGGAATGGCTTGTTGGCCATCCCCACTTCTCACCGGCCATGGCTTGAGGCCACCGGCCATGTCTTCTTGCCACTGGCCATTGGTGATGGCCGATCGGCACTTTGTGTGGTCGACCGACCACTTAGTTGGCCGATGGCCTCCTTTTCTGGCCGGTACCACATTGTTGCCTCTTGCAGGCATGGTGCATGCCAGCTGTGCCAGCTGGGATGCACAGACCCTCCCCCCACACATGTGTGTGGCTGTTTTGGCCCCTTTGCCCCCTTTTTTTGATCCAAACTTTTTCTAGAAGATTGCACCCTTTGCTCAAGCTTCTTGAGGAAGCTTGACCCTTTGTCTTAGCTTCCTCAAGAAGCTTGGACCTTTGGGATAGCTTCTCTTAGAAGCTTGGTCCCTTTGACCCATTCATTTAGCTTCTCTAAGAAGCTTCATGCCTTTGCCTTGTCTATATAAGGAGACCTCTCTTCTCCATTTGAGAGGTTCAGTAAAAACCAGACCTAATACATATATATCTTATATATACACCTTCTCTCTCTATATCTCCCTCTCTCTCTTCATTTGTATGTGTTTGAGGGCCTAAAAGTGTAGTTTATTCTTAGTTTTGCACTAGAACACCTACTATTACACCATATTTCGACTTGGGAGGTGTTGAGAGGTTGTTCTTGGAGTTTTGAGCTAGTTTTGATCATAAGGAAGAGGCTGAGGTTGCTGTTCTTCAAGTGTTCTTTAAGGGTAACACTATTTGCTTTATATTCATCAATCTTGCACTAGTTTTTAACCCACTTTGCATGCTGTTTTAGACTTTGTGTATAACTTGAAAAAGTCTTGTATTTGCATGCTTAAGATCTTTCATTAAGGGCATTTTGTTGTTTGGGGTCGACCTCCCCCTCTTAGGCCTTGTTTGGCTCTTTTTGTGCTCTCTTTGTTAAGCTTTGAATACTATTGTGTTTTGGCCTTCTCACCATTGAAATCCAGTGGATTTTCAGTGGTGATGAAGAGGGTTTGAGGTCTTGCATAGGGGAGGGACACCCCTCTCCCTTTGTCTCTCTTTTGTTTGCATTTTTGGCTCATTAGGGTAGCATGCATGCTTAGTTGCTTTTGGCTTCATTTCAAAGGTTTTTGGGTGTTATTGGGTCATATTACATCTCTGTTTTTGGTTGGATTCATGCCCCTTTGCATGCATAATATACTTGCTTTGCATTCCTCCTCTTTGCCTAGAAATGCATCTTGCCTTTAAGACCATCATGCATGCATGTTCTTGCCTAACTTTGTGAAGTTCTTGGTCATATTTCATCATGCTTGAGGTCTGTTAGGCACTGATTTGATCATATTTTCCATGTTTGGTATAACCTCTTTGCATTTTGGCTCGTGGGCCTTTAGTGTGTGAGTCATGAGCATGCTTGAGTTAGGTTGTTTTAGTGATTTGGAATCATTTCTCATGCCATTTCTGTCATACCCCGAACTTGCCCCTAAAAGTTCGGGCATGACCCATTCAGAAACAGACATATAACCTGGTATGTATAGCATGTGAGGCCTTGACGGAAGCACAAAGTATTAGAAGAATACAAAACCAACAAACTCCATTGAGCTATTTCTAACATGTCAGGATCTCATACATTACATACACCATGATAGGTTGATAGAGTCCAAAAATATTCCTTAGCAATACTTATATACAAACACATATACAGACCCAACCCTGTAGTCGGGCATATAATAAAAAAAAACTGTTGAAGTTATATACATTCAACCTTGGAAAGATAGCCAAGAAGTAAGCTAATTATCTTAATAGACTTCACAAAATAAGTGGCCTCAAAAGTGCTTGGGTACACGAAGGTTGACAAAAGAAACCGGGCGTCATGGTTTAGGATTGACCACCTGGTTGATTGCCTACAGAAACAGACATAACAAATAGTGAGCCGGGCTCAGTGAATAGTAATACATGAATGAAACAATGCTCAACTTGACACATGACATATATCAATACATATGGAAAAGCAGAGATCACAAAGTTAGCCTGATTCTGTATTCATCTCATAATGGCCTTAGGCCCAATCTTGAACATAACAGCTTAGCATATCACATTCTTAAGTCATAGTGGCTTGAAGCCCTTGAACATGGTGGCGTAATGCCCTTGAACATAGTGGCGCGAGGCCCTTAAACATGGTGGCACAAAGCCCTTGTAACATATGGCACTAAGGCCTTTGAAACGTGTGGCACAGGGCCCTTGTAATTTGTTGGCATTGAAGCCCTTGAAAGTGGCATAAAGCCCTTGAAACCATACTTATACGAACTCAAGAGGTGTCTCACACGGATTCTAGAGGTGGCTCACGTCGTAGCACTTAGTTCCGTGTAGCACTTTGTTTCATATCATAATAACTTATATTGAATGGCCGTAGGCCTATCTTTCCCATTTTATTCTTTACATACTTGGAACATACTTGAGCATTAACATACATACTTGAAACATTAATCATGGTTACGTACTTGAGACATTAACATAGTCGCGTAACGAAATGCTAATGAAAATCATTAGTCATATGTAAAGAGGATAATGATACTACTACTCACAGTGTTGCGATGATGTGCTTGTTCTTCCCGGAGTGTGCCCTGCACACATTCAACCTTACACAATTTAGTTTCCTTTCCATATTAGATCACTTTCTATTTCGTTTTACTTCGAAGGAATTTATACATATTAAAAGGCATCAAATACATATTCCGACAACATTGGAGGGTTCTACACGCAAAACGGAGCAAACAGTATTTTTCAGCATGAGCCGCACGTGCGGCTGTGAGCCCCGCACGTGCGGCAGTTGGCCCCGCACGTGCGGCCCTGAGGTCTCGCACGTGCCTTTTTAGCAGAACAAAAGCCCCAAAATTGCCCTTCTCCCGCACGTGCGAGACACAAACTTCAAGTTTTAGATGAATTTTGTGTGTGTATGTTTTCCAACCCCCACTTCTTTCTTCCCTTTTATTTACTAGCTTTCGATGGTTAGTATTAGGACATATTTAAATTAGCATACCTTATGTTATGCATGCGTGCATTCATACATTTGTCTTGCATGCACCGGGCTCGGCGCATCATGCTAACTGCATTGTATTTCAATTCCAAATTGAATACGTGTTATCTGTTGCATTTCACATGCCATGTTTAGGATAGCCGAGCCTGTCTAGATTGTATCTTTGCATGTGTTGCATTAGCCATTTTAAACATGAACTAGGATCATGCATATGATTACTAACTAGTTTATGTTTTGGCTTGGAGTACTCGGTAAGCATTTATGTTTTAGCATCCTTGCATGAGTGTGAGTGTTGCCATGATAACATGCTTACCATGAGGCTATATGCTTACGTGTTATAACTGCCTGAATGCCTGTAGATGAAGGTTGGGTTACTTAAATTGGAACAATCCATTGAATGCAAGTTTTAAGCCCACTTGAGGGTGGCAAAATTCATGTCTTAAGCCTACTTGCGGGTAGCATCATCAAACCATTTTCAAATAAACAAACATGACATGTTTCGTTCCAATTTAGGCGACTTAGTCTATGCTTGTTTGTTGTGCGCATCACGTAGTAAATCTAGGCTAATAGCCGGAATAAGAACGCATAATGTTTTCAAAACTAGATATCATGGTTAGTAGAGGCCGATCTTCGGATCGGGCGAGAGGGGGTGCTCATAGCTGATCTTCCCCAATCGTACCCAAGTTCTCGAGCCGAGGCAACTTTGGTGATGACGGACACGTGGCCTTAGGCAAACGAGTCAGGATTTCCTAAATTCTCCCAAAATAAAATATTTAGGTGGCGACTCTGTATCTGGCAAAGCAGTCCATGTTTGGCACTTCTTTACAAAAATTTGTTTTCCAAAATGATTTGCCGGATTTGGACTCTTTGGTGATTTATCAATCTCACATTGCACATTGTGAGATCAGATTAAGAACCGACACAAATCGAGTCCGAACTGTAGCATGAGGCCCAAGGGCGTGTCTACAGCCACCAAGCATTTTTCAATTTTGATTTTAACAACCTCGATTATTAGTCAGTGGCCATTCCTACCATTGGGTAGTGTTTGGCTGATTATTTGCTGACATATGATGAATTTTTTTTTGTTATTACTTTTGCTTTCTTTTATTGCTGCAGCTTTTTAAGCCCCATTATACATTCCTTCTGAGAAAGGAAACGCGTAATTACAGTAACCAAGATAGAGCAAGAAAATAAGACAACACGCGCATTGAACTCCACACACACACGGGAAGGAAATAGATAGGATAGGAAAGTAATCGCATTACCACTTTCTTTGAATAATAAATTCATGCAAGTTGCAAAGAAAATGGTTATCAAATTGGTTGCAAGTAACGCAAATGTCACATTATAAACAATAAAATTAAAAAAAAAACTAAAGAGAAAGAGAGAGATACCAGTTTCTATTTCTGTTATAATCAATTTCTCAAATTTTCTCTTCCTAGTAATTTCGTATACTAAACAGTTAAACAATGGCTTCTTCCTCTATTCCATCTTTATCTCGATCTCGATACGCATTCGATGTGTTCTTGAGCTTTAGAGGCAAAGACACCCGCAATAACTTCATCAGTCATCTCTACACTGTGTTGGCTCACAAGGGGATTCATACCTTCAAAGACGATGAAAAGCTCGAGAGAGGAAAATCGATTTCACCGGAGCTCCGGAGAGCGATTCGAGGATTGAGGTTTTCAATTATAGTATTATCGAACAATTATGCTTCTTCGAGATGGTGTTTGGATGAACTAGTGGAGGCACTTGAGCGCAGCAACACAACGGTTTGTTCGATTTTCTATCATGTGGATCCATCAGAAGTGAGAAGGAAAATAGGGAGTTTTGGGGAGGGATTTGATGAATTGGTTTCCAAACAGGGAGTATTGGGGATGGAGAATGTTCAAAGGTGGAGAAATGCTTTGGAGCAAGTTGCCAATTTATCAGGATGGCCATATCCCAATGATACAATCATTAGATAACTGACAATTAGATAAAACTTACTAGCATATTATCTGTGTTATGATTTAAAATAATTGTGGAAAAATTTATAGGTGATCCTTCTTAAATTTTACATACGACTATTTTATATATTGATTTATAAATTTGCCAACTATTCATTTCTAAGAAGAGTATTTGTAACATGCCCGGGGGGTACCCGTGCGCATTAAATAGTTTGGATCCTCCATTTCTTTGATCTAGTCTCACTAGTGCAATGTGAAATATAGATGAGAATCCAGATTGGCAACTTTTAGAAAATCCATTTTATTGCAAAATTATTGTCACAAATGGACTGCGTCATCAAATCTCAAAGTTGCCACCTAATATTTTGGAAAATTAAGAAACCCATGACTCGTGCCAAGGCCACTGTTTGTCGTAACCAAAGTTGCCTCGATTCGGAACCTTAGGTATGAGAGGGGAAGGTCATTAATTAAGTACCTCTGCTCACCCGATCAAAAGATCGGACTTTACTAACCATGATATAAATTTTATTTTCTTTATATGTTCATGTTCTGATTATTTAATAAATCCTAAAATTTACTATGTGAAGCATACAAGTATAAACTATGTCACCCACTTTGGAACAACTTGATTTCATGTAGTTTTGAAAGAGTTTTGAAGATGTACAACCCAAATAAATTAAGTTTACAAATATGAAAATTAACATCATTCCAAATTAAGCAACATAACCTCCATCTACTGGCATTCATAGAGTTATATCACATAAGCAAATAGCCTCATGGTAGAATGCTAAACATAGTAAGAAAAACACACACAAACGAAATGCTAAAGTATAAAAACTTACATGTTTGACGTCCTGCGAACAAGCTACAAAACAAAGTTAGTAAAACATGCATAATCTTATATACAAAATCCTAATGCAATTCACTCATGAGATGAAACTAAAGATTCGGCTTCTAAGATATGACATGTGAATCATTTCAAAAACATTAGGTAGTGCACATAATCACATAGGAATTGATTAAATCCACAAATGCAAACTTAGCCAAATCAAGATGCATGAAACATGGATGCAAAGCATGGATATAAAGAAAAAAAAAATATGATGCATATTCACAAATAAACAAAGCAAGTAAAAGAATGGGATAGCAAGAAGCGGGAAGGGGGATTATTACAACACTTAAAAGAATAATTACAAACCAAATTAGAGAGGGATGAGGAGAATATTACAACAAAATAAAAATCTCACAAAACACTCAAAATAAAATAAACAAAAGAAAAAGCTTCATGTGCCTTGGAACTGTCGGCGGAAATTAGTCAACATTGGAAGGTTATGCCATCTTGTCTAAAAGAAGCTAACCGACCGACCAACTAGACCGAGCAAACCTGTCTTGTTGCGAAACCAAGAAAAAGAACAAATAAGAAATATGTAGGTAGCTCAACTAACCACTACCGATTAGCTTACAACATAACTAATATGAAACAAGAGCAAGCAAATAAGCAATAATAATGGTAATAATAATAATAATGACATTCTTATTATTATTATTATGAGCTAAACAAACCGCTTGAATTATAACAACATACTATAAATGTAAAGTAAGAAAATAAATTTGAGATAAACAAACCAATTGGATTATAACAAAACACTATGAAATACGAAGCAAGAAAATAAATATGAGATAGAAATATAAGAAAATTAAAGACTAAAAATTCACATTCCAAAGAAAGATTGAACTTCTTGATTTCCAAACTTCCTCTTGATCACTCTCAAATTTAGGAAATGTATTCTCAATCCTCACATCAAAACTAGAATTTGAGCTTGGAATGACGGTTTTGAACAAAGGGTGTGATCACTCTTTTCTTGGGAAGAATACTCTCTCATTGATTAAGGCTTTGAGTGGCTTTGACAAGGGAAGATAAGATGTAAGAGCCATGTAACTTCAATAGTTTGGCAAAACAACTCTATTGTTTTTAAGACTTCTTTTCTCTCAAATTCTAACACAATTTTAGCATTCTCTTCCTACACTTATCTTCTTCAAAATTCCTCATAAATTCAAGACTAGAGCTCTCATTATATAGCCAATGCAAGTGGGCAATGGTGGAGGGCAAAGTGGAAGACAAAGTGGAGGATAAAGTGGAGCATTTTGGGGAAGATAATGGAGTTAATGGGGGACAATGTATAATGAAGGTGAATAATGAACGGTGATGGTGGTGTGTGATTTATAAAAATGGATGATGAGTTAAGATGGTGGGATATGATTATGAAAGATAGTAAGTGGAGATGGTGGGATGTGATTATGAAAGTAGATGGTGAGTGGAAATGGTGGGGTGTAATTATGAAAGTGGGTGGTGAGTGGAGATGGTGGGATGTAATTAGTGAGTGGGGAAGGTAGGGTGTGATTATGAAAGTGGATGATGAGTGGGGATGTGGGATGTAATTAGTAAGTAGGGATAGTGGGGTGTGATTATGAAAGTGGGTGGTGAGTGGGAATGGTGAGGTGTAATTATGAAAGTGGGTGATGAGTGGAGATGGTGGGACGTAATTAGTGAGTGGGGATGGTAGGGGTGTGATTATGGAAGTAGATGATGAGTGGGGATGGTGGGGTATGATTATGGAAATAGATGATGAGTGGGGATGGTGGGTGTCACGCCCCAAAATTCGCCCCTAAAAGTTTGGGCATGACCTCTTTAGAGACGGACATGTAACCTGGTAATATAACATACGGGGCCTTATCGAAAGCATAGAAATAAATAGATAAATAATAATGAACAATTAAACTCCATTGAGCTACTCCTACATGCCAGGATCTCATTCATCACATGCATTATACCGGATAAATAAAGTTCCAAACTATATCCCAGAGTATGTACATACACATTTACAGTTCCAGCCCTAAAGTCGGGCGTATACAAAAACAAACATGAAAGGTATATACAACAACCTTAGATGGACACTCATAAGCAAACCAACATCTTGACAACTTAAGAAATTAAATGACTTAAACAGTGCCTGAACATATGAAGGTTGACAAAAGGAAGCGGCGTCTTGGCTAGGACTGACCGCCTGATTGGTGACCTACAGAAACAGACATAACAGAGGGTGAGCCGGGCTCAGTGAATAGTAATACATAAATAAACCAATGCTTAACTTGAAACATAATTCATATCAATGAATAAAAAGGTGCAGAGTTCACATAGTTAGTCTAAATCTGTGCAAAGTACATAACAGCCTTAGGCCCAATCCTGCAACATAAACATAATACTATAAAGCCTTTGAAACATGGTGGCACGAGGCCCTTGAAACGTGTGGCACGAGGCCCTTGTAACTTGTTGGCATTGAAGCCCTTGAAAGTGGCATAAAGCCCTTGAAAATGGCATGAAGCCCTTGTAAACATATTGGCATTAAACCCCTTGAAAATGGCATGAAGCCCTTGTAAACATATTGGCATTAAACCCCTTGAAAATGGCATGAAGCCCTTGTAAACATATTGGCATTAAACCCCTTGAAAATGGCATGAAGCCCTTGTAAACATATTGGCATTAAACCCCTTGAAAATGGCATGAAGCCCTTGTAAACATATTGGCATTAAACCCCTTGAAAATGGCATGAAGCCCTTGTAAACATATTGGCATTAAACCCCTTGAAAATGGCATGAAGCCCTTGTAAACATATTGGCATTAAACCCCTTGAAAATGGCATGAAGCCCTTGTAAACATATTGGCATTAAACCCCTTGAAAATGGCATGAAGCCCTTGTAAACATATTGGCATTAAACCCCTTGAAAATGGCATGAAGCCCTTGTAAACATATTGGCATTAAACCCCTTGAAAATGGCATGAAGCCCTTGTAAACATATTGGCATTAAACCCCTTGAAAATGGCATGAAGCCCTTGTAAACATATTGGCATTAAACCCCTTGAAAATGGCATGAAGCCCTTGTAAACATATTGGCATTAAACCCCTTGAAAATGGCATGAAGCCCTTGTAAACATATTGGCATTAAACCCCTTGAAAATGGCATGAAGCCCTTGTAAACATATTGGCATTAAACCCCTTGAAAATGGCATGAAGCCCTTGTAAACATATTGGCATTAAACCCCTTGAAAATGGCATGAAGCCCTTGTAAACATATTGGCATTAAACCCCTTGAAAATGGCATGAAGCCCTTGTAAACATATTGGCATTAAACCCCTTGAAAATGGCATGAAGCCCTTGTAAACATATTGGCATTAAACCCCTTGAAAATGGCATGAAGCCCTTGTAAACATATTGGCATTAAACCCCTTGAAAATGGCATGAAGCCCTTGTAAACATATTGGCATTAAAGCCCTTGAAAATGGCATAAAGCCCTTCGTAGCATTTATGTGTTTACTTTTCACTATTTCGTTTACCTATAAATTTGCAAAAATTATGTTTAAATTGATTTATTTACCATTTCATTTATTTAATTTTCTGCACAGTAAACTGACCACCAAACCATACAAATTGGTAGATTTCAACCATTAGATTAAAATTGATGCAAAACTATAGCCATGAGATCTCTCTTCTTTATTTCAACCAAAGCTCACTATTTAAAAAAATGTGGATATAGAAATTTATTTGGGTACTGTTATTGGCCAAGGTAATAAAGTGCTTATTTTTTGTTGCAAATTGCAAGTGGGTCAAATAAACAAAAATACTATAATAGTAAATATTTTGTGATCTGGTCTTTGTTTGCATTTGTGTCATCACTATTTTTCACGTTTTCTTGGCTAAGGTAATAATTGTGTCATCACTATTTTCACATTTTCTTAATAAATTGTAGCAATTTCCATCACATTGCCTCCACCACTATTAATCATAGACCATACCATTTTTTGCCATTTAAAAATAGAAATTTATAGCAAAACTTATTGTTAAATTCAATGGGACAGTTTTTATATGTTTATCGTTAAGTTTGCACTACAGACAAAGAGGGTCTAATTTTTTTTTATTAAGTTACATGTGTCTAAATTTTATAATTTTGCAAAATATTTAAATTGAGTGGATCTAAAAGTGAAAAATATTTTGATTAAAATATTAAAAAGTTCACTAAAAATTTAAAAACTATTTTTGGAAACTCCAAAACTAAGTAATTTTTGAATTTTAAATTTGTAAAAATTATTTTTAATATATACAACCAAACAAAATTTTAAGTTTGACAAACTCTTTTCAAAAGTTTTAAGTTTGACAAACTCTTTTCAAAAATCTAATTATAAAATTCATTTGAAAATCTAAAACCATACGGATCATCTATTTATATTTTCACCTCAAATTTTTTTTTAACAAATTGAATAAATTACATTTTAACCAAATAATTTTGTATTCAATTACATTTTTATTCCAACAATATTTTCACCGTGCCTTCAGGCACGGACATACCGTAGTAATTTTATATTCAATTACATTTTCATTCCAATAATATTTTCACCGTGCCTGAAGACACGGGCATACCCTAGTAATTAAATATGAAAATAACGTAACGAAAGGTATATGAGAATGAGGGTTGATGTACAAACATTGTTGGTGTTTGCCAAGAGAGAAAATGCTGTTGTCAGCTGACCAATCAGAAGTGATCCCTGTATCTCTGCAAACAGACATGGCGTGGGAATAGCAAATATACATGTCAACAGACAATCATTGACCCACCACATACCTTTTCCTCTTCTCAATACCCAATCTTAGTACATCTTCAGCTTCATATTCTTTTTCTCCCCAATCAAAATCCCCATATTCTCGACCCTGTTCACAAAACCCCACTCAGATGTCAAATCTGAAATGGGGTTTTGTGCTTTGCATCTATTTTTTCATCATCAATCTTTGCATAGGCAGTTGTAGCAATAGTTTTTCTTCGGACCCACATAACCAACAATTGTTAGACAGAGTTTCAAACCTTCCAGGCCAAGCCTTTGATGTGAGCTTTGCACACTATTCTGGGTATGTCACAGTCAATAAGGAATCTGGGAGGGCCCTCTTTTACTGGTTTGTTGAGGCTGTTGATGACCCTTCTTCCAAGCCTCTGGTTCTTTGGCTCAATGGAGGTAATATATCTTTCAATTACAAATATACCCTTCTTGTTCTTTATGTTTTGATTTGTAGTTGTATGACAAGTAAACTCTTTATAATTTGTCTTAGTGATATATGGTATACAGTTTTCAATTCCTTCTTACTTTCTGCCCAGTAATTTGAATTTATCTTCATATACTATGTATTTGGATAAGTATGAGCTTATATATGTATGTATATGTGTGTGTATGCTTAGATGGATAGGGCCTGTTTGGAATCAATTTTGTCTTCTGTATTTTTATTTTTCGTGTTTTTTGAAACAGAAGTAACGAAAAGTTCGGAAATGGCCATCAAATATTTTTATTTTTGTTTATTTATTTATTTATTTATTTTTGGAACTAGGAAATGCCCTCGGGCTACAGAGAGAATTGAGAAAGCAATAAATCCTACAGGAAAGTAGGAGGATTCCTAACCCAATCTAAAGATAAAGCTCCCTGTAGATGAGCTGAAGCAAGCCCATGGGCAACTCTTCTTTTTCTTTCTGGTGGGCACCTAAAAATGCCCATCATTTTGTTATGCAGAAATGGTATAGTTCTAATCAGGAAACAGTACAGAGAAATAAAGCAAACACACATAACACAAGACATATATAGTTCAGTAATATGCCTACGTCAGGGAGGAGTTCAAATCCACTATGCACAATAAAAGGATTACAGGGCCCTGAATCTCGCAATCTCAATTAAACCCCTCAACAATGTTGTCACACTCTCAATCCCGGCCTTGACCCTCCACCCTCTATAAAAGGATGGTTATAGTAAATTTAATTGTTCAGTAAAAATTAGAAGGCACCTCACAATGGTTTTTGAAAATTCATTTTTTATGTTTGCCAAAATTTTTAGAAAACAAAACCAATCAATCTTCATATTCTTTTATTTTTCATATTTTTTGCATGTTTATTTCTTTCCCCTCCTAAACATGTGTTTCTGTTTGTCTCTGCCAGCATATGCTTATATGTTGGATGTAGAGTATGCGTATCCATAACTTAGTTGTGTTTAATTCTCATCTCTTAATTGATCAAATGGGTGAGTTTATTTAATGAAAATTTTCTAAATTGTAGTATTTCTTTTCTTTTCATTTCTGTTGACATTTATGGTTGATAGTTTTTTGGTTTCTGACTGTGGTTAATATCATTAGCTAATATTATATAAAATAGTTTTGCTGACCCAAAAATTGTTTCTTCAGGGCCTGGCTGTTCATCAATCGCTTATGGAATGGCTGAGGAAATTGGACCTTTTCACATTGAGAAAGATGGGAAGACTCTTTATTTGAACCCTTATGCTTGGAATCAAGGTATATAGGCTCTTGTGAATTTTTTTAAAATATATTAAGTTAAAACATGTGCAAAATCAGTCGCTATTTTTTGGGATATCTCTGATTCATGGGCTGCACAAGTAATGTATAAGTTCAAAATCCCTAGGTTGAGCAGTAGGTTGGTAACAAGAAATATAAATACAACTAAAGGATATCTAATATTTTCATATTTTCCACCAAAACATTTAGAGATCTTGATATCGTAATTTAGTTGCATGTCCAGCCACTTCTGATGGACATTATTGTCTACCTGCAAATCCAAGGGTTATATCATGTTTAATCCAATGCTAATATCTAGGACTGCATCTCATTGTTTTAGTCAAGAATACTACAGAATAAGTATCAAGTTCTATTTGTGCACAGGAGCATTGACAAATATATCTACATTTTCATTAAATACGTGTTTCACAATAGTGCATTTTTGTTTTGTTATTTTCCATCAGATTCTAATTTCTACATCTTGCTTGAGTATTTTTCATTTTTGTTTTTGTTATTTCTTTTTGTAAAGTATTTCACAGAAATTTATGATTGAGAAATTTATGTCAAAAAGTAAGCTCTGCTTTAGTTCCTCCAAGGAAATATAATTGTACCATTTTGCAGTTGCCAATGTACTGTTTCTTGATTCCCCTGTTGGAGTTGGTTTTTCATATTCGAACACTTCATCTGATTTGCTGAACAATGGAGATAAAAGGACTGGTAATACCTTCTTGTATGACATACTTTTGCTTCCAAGTTCCAAATATATATTGTTGTTTCTATGCTGTTGAATATTTACTTCTTCTCCTTTGGCTTGCAGCTTCCGACTCACTGACATTCTTACTGAATTGGTTTGAGCGTTTCCCCCAGTATAAAGGAAGAGACTTCTATCTCACAGGAGAGAGTTATGCAGGTAAATGCTTGTTAATTCATTGTAAAAGTGATACTTTATGAATGTTAATGTATATGTGGTATTCCTAGATATATTAAGTATTGATTTCCTAGATATATTTGGGAATAGTCATAGTTATGTTTTTAGTAGGATATTCTTTCTCAGCCAGTATATACAGGTCTTCAATTATATAGGAAAATTTATTCAATACAATACATTTAATACAATACATATTATTTTCTCTCTTTTTACTATTCTAACAATGAACACATCACATGAAATATTGTGGTGAAATTGGTGGCATTTGGGGATGTTCTGACTTGGTTGTATCTGCCCATTCAAATGATTATGTAGTTTGGTCAGAATGCATTTGGGTTCTCCGTCTAACATCCATGGCCACTGATGTCCCATGGGCGGGTCTAATTCTATCATTGTATTGGGGGAAACTCTTGTTCTTAAGTTTGGTTTTAGACCTCAATCAAGAGCACAGGGAAAAGAAGAAACATTAAGAGGAGCTAAAAGCTGAATCAAGAGAACAGAGAAATTCTTAAACAGTTTTATTTCAAAGGACCAATGAAAGTGGAAGACATTGAGAGAAGGAATGTGAGATATTATTCCTTAAGTTTCCTTTCTTTATTTGGAGGAAGAATTCAACTTGCCACCCCCCAAAAGAAAATCATTCTTTTCTCAATGTACTTTCTCTTTTGTTCGGTTATATATATATTTTTTCCTGTACAAATCCTCTGTTTTGGTTTGCCTCCAATGTGTCTTGTATATATTATCCTCCTTACCTGATTATTAACATCTTCATAAATTTCTAATCCTTGAAAACACAAAATCAAAATGTTTTAGTTATTTAAGAGTTTAGATAATACATTCATCCTCAATATTTTCCCATCTACAAATAATAAATAAAAAGTAAAAGAATTTACATTTGAAAGGATGATTTCATAGATATGGTCTTAATCTTATAGCTTTTGGTCTAGGGTTTCCTCTCAAAGGAAATCTGGGTTGAATGGAAATACAAGGCATAGTGAAAAATTGAGGGGAAGATTTTGATGTTGACATCCAAACAGGGCACCACCTTATTAGTGGCTTAACAATTTTTTTTGGGCTTGATATAATTGAACTCTGTATTCCACTTCCAGGACATTATGTTCCCCAGCTAAGCCAAGCCATTGCGAGGTACAACTCAGCAAAAAAGGAAAAAACAATAAATTTAAAGGGCTACATGGTATGGACTCTTCTTGGAAATTTTACATAAAATTGTGCTTCTGCAGTATGAAGTAAGTTAATGTATGTGTAACACAGGTGGGAAATGCTTTAACGGATGATTATCACGACCATTTGGGACTTTTCGAGTTTATGTGGTCAGCTGGTATGATTTCTGACCAGACATACAAGCAGCTGAATCTTTTTTGCGACTTCCAGCCATTTATACACTCCTCAGAGAAGTGTGATAAGGTTCTGGATATTGCTAGTGAAGAACTCGGAAATATTGATCCATATAGCATCTTCACTCCTCCGTGCACTGCCAATTTTAGCTCATCAAACCGGCTATTGAAGAGACGCCATGTACGTATGTACATAACATACCGAAGAATATATTTCACTTATTATAAGTTGTATAATGAATTTTTATTTTTATTCTCATGAGTTCTTTCACATAATATTAGGGTGCTTAGAAAAAGCATTATGTTGGGTTGCTTTCAAATATATTTTGGACAGCCCTTCCTGATGTCATCCATTTCAAAATTGGTTTTTATTATTTTCTTTGCAAAAGTTTCTGAAATCTTTTAAACCCTTTATTTCTGATCCATGTTTGCCAGATATGGGCTTGGTGGCATGGGCCAGGGTTTGTAATTGGTTTGTCGTGTTTTTAGTTTTCCAAAGAGTTCCTTAGGGGGTTACACAAATAGTTCCACGTGTAAGCATATTTTGTTTTGCTCTCCTCAGCATGAGTTTAAGCTTCCACTAAAATTCTGTGTACTTGTTGAATTGATGTACATGTTTACCCCTGGTGTGCCAAACATGAGGATAAATTGAAGTTTAAAACCTTTCCCTAGAAGAAGGTTTCTCCGAATGCTACTGAAGTTTTTGAGAATTTTTTAGTTTGATCATTAATTAAATATAATTTAATCTGATAGGTGGTTGGTCATATTGGCCGGACATACGATCCATGCACGGAGAAGCATTCGGTTGTCTACTTCAATCAACCTGAGGTTCAAAAGGCACTTCATGTTCTCCCGGCAAGTGCACCATCTAAATGGGATACCTGCAGGTAGATCTACTTGACGGTATAAATTGTTGATCACATAATCGCCTTAGGTTAACAAATAAACTAGATTTGGGACAACATTATGGTGTCTGGTCAGCTTGAATCCATTCCTTAGTCAAGGACTATGTTTTAATGAATAATTATCGGTACCATAATAGTGGAGCGACATATTTATCTCCTAGTACTATAATATGAGTTTCAGTAAGGTTTTCATGATTTGGAAGAAAATCCATATATAAATAGGAGGAAGGGAATTCAGCTTTCTTGATCCAACTGTTAAAAACATGTTCAGGAAGGAGCATATACAACAGCCCCTCAGTCTACCTAGATCTCATGTAGAGATTTGTGGATGTTATTGTGATCCAAATAAGGAGATTAAGTTCATAGATTTTTTATTGTGTGACCAAGTTGATATTAGAGTTGTATTTCTCATGTCCATTTCACCATGTGTGTATTGCATTTAGTTATTACTAACTATGGTACATTTCGTAGCGCAACTTAAGAATTTTTAGTCACTATCATGGGTTGGTTGCAGTAATTTATGAGAGCTTTGATTCATCAAGTTGCATATGAAGTGTATGTTTTGATGATATTCCATGACATTGTTACTGTTCTGCAGTGATTTGGTAAATGAAAATTGGAAGGATTCCCCTACCTCAGTGCTCAACATCTACCGTGAACTTATCCATTCAGGACTACGTATTTGGATATTCAGGTATTTTTCAATATTCAGCATAACTTTTCAGGAATTTACTGAATGTGTGCTTTCCCATGTTGCTTGCAGATGCATTTTGTATATTCTAATGTTGGTCTCACTGTGCTTGCTTATCAATTAAATTAGTGGTAGGTATTGAAATAAGGATGCTCTCCAAAACCAATTTGAATTTTTCATCAGCACCAGGAACGGTCTTCCCCAGTCATTTCCTTTCATGATTTTTGTTGGTTTTTTGTTTTCCATTTTTGTTTTTGCTTTTTTCCTATCTAATCATTTTCTCTAGCTAATTCCATTCAGCTATTTTGAATCGAGGACATGAGTCTGTAGGTGAGGTCATTAATCCTGAAAGGGTACAATTTTGGGTTTAATTGAAGGAGGTCATACACATGTACCGAAAAAAAGGAGGTTATACACAGAAAAAAAAAGTATATCTGAGATAGGACATGGATTAATGAGTGGCAAGCATAGGATAAAAAATATGAAGTTTATATCAAGGCAATCCTTGATAATATTTAAAGAGAAAATTGTTAGTAAGGTTGTTTGGCTATGTATGTAGCCTTACATCCACGGTACATGCTAGTTTTTCAGTATTTTTCTACAGTAAAATGATAACTTCCATTCTTACAGATGAATCCCAAATCCTAAAAGTAGATAGGGTTTGATTATGTGTCCGTATCGCTCTTGCAAATCTGCTTTATATAATTAACTCTGGAGATGTGACAGATTGTGTAAAACACTCGTCCCCAACACTCAAAAAGTAAGTATATGAATCATAGAAAATGTTCATTTTTCTTGAGATTTGGTATTTGCACTCTTTAATCTGCAAATAGATTTGTAAAGTGGAGGGTAGCTATCTGTATTTAGACTCTTGCCAAAGGTGTCAAAAAATAGCCATTGCAAAATGAAATTCTCTCTTTTGACATGGGATTACATGAAGTTTGCAAGAGTAGGTTGTATGATCGGAAAAAATGTCATCAAAATCACAAATGTGCCAAAGTGAAAAAGGTGGCTATGGGCGAATAAGTTGGTAGCCGCTTTAAAAAACTGTCATAAATTCTGTAGATAACATTTGTCTCCCCTGCATGAAGAAAATTTTCTCGTGCTTTAAGAGTAGATTAGACGAACCATACAGAAGAGCAAGAACATCTGATTGACTTGATGATACCTGATGGTAGAGGAAATTGGAACAAGCAATGGAACAGAATATAAAAGAAACTAAATAATAGCCAAAACTGTTATTTTTAACATTAGAAGTACTTCCTAATAGCAATAAGCCTAGTAGTTATAGTCCAACCACAAAGGTCCAAATATGGAAATAAACAATAAATCCCAAAATAAATGAAAGTACATAATTAGCTCTTAAAATTAAGAAATCCTAACATTAAGCATAAATGAAATAAAAAACAATTTTGATCCCCATCACTTGCACTTCTCCATTAAAAATATTTAAGAGGAAGATAGAAAATGAAGAATAAGAGTATGTATGGTTGTATGGTCCTTTTATCTCTTGTACCAATCCTCAATGTAATAAAGTTTAGAAATAGGAGCAGCCATTTAAGTCCTCATTTTAACAGCTTGGTATCCTTTACATAAATTGTTTTTGTTATTTGCAACACAAAAACAAAAATGACAGCATGAGTAAGGAGTTCTATGAAACCAGGTTAAGACCTGTTAAATTTGATGTATGGAAAAATAGAGAGAATGAAATATGTATTGATGATTGATATTATTGATTGATTTATGTTATATGTATTACAATGATTCATGATTCCTATATATAGAAGATGGTGAGTGTGTAGTAGGTAAGGAGTAGGTGAAGTGGAGGTGGTAGTGGTGTAGTGGGTTAGGTTTAGCAGAGTAGGTTTAAGTGGGTGAAGTAGGTGATAGGTTTTAACAGCCCCCCGCAAACTCAAGGGGGATAGGAACTAAGGGGGTCAGAAGACTAACTTAGAGGTTGGCTGGAATAAATAGACGGAATACATAAAAGAAAAGAGGATAGGAGACACTGTATGGTCGTGTTAGACCGATGGTGAAGACACTGTGATGGTGGTGTCATAACGTTGTTAGAGGACACGGGGGTTGTGTCAGACCGATGTAGAAGACAGTTTATGGGGTCATGTCGGACCGTTGTAGCAGACAATGTTGTGATAGTTTTGTGACAGTTTACGGAGTCTTGCTGGACCCTTGTAGAAACTAACCGAAATCAATGTCGGGACAGTTTACTGAGTCTTGTCGGACCCATGAAGGAGCTAACCGGAATCAATGTCGGGACGTTTACGGAGTCTTGTCGGACCCTTGTAGAAACTAACCGGAATCATTCGGGACAGTTTACAGAGTCTTGTCGGACCCATGAAGGAGCTAACCGGAATCAATGTCGGGACAGTTTACAGAGTCTTGTCGGACCCATGAAGGAGCTAACCGAATCAATGTCGGGACAGTTTACAGAGTCTTGTCGGACCCATAAAAAAGTCGCACCCTTAAAAGGTGTGCCCAATCTGTCAAAAGGCGTGCCATCAAAAGGCGTGCCCAATCTATAAAAAGGCGTGCCATCAAAGGCGTGCCTATCAAAAGGAGCGCCCCATGTTATCGGCGAGCGCCGAGAGGCGCATGATCGCGTGTCTGCCTTGGCTATTTAACCAAGACGGAGGCTGAGACGAAGGCAGAGAGGCTGAGACAAAAAAACCTGCGAAAAACCTTTGAAAAACCTCTTCAGTTTCTGAGAAAGAGATTCTGGAACACTCTGTTGCCCAGAAAATGGCCTCGTCTTCCCGTTCAGCTACCCAAATATGGCCTCTTCGTCCCGTGGTCTGCTCACTCTCTTTCCCGACCTCAACGAGTCAACAAGAGAGATAACTGGTGCGGTGGCCAGTGAACCTCAACCAACGCCTCTGGTTTTGCTCCGTTGAACTTTCCGATGCGGTCGGTGGAGCAAAAAATAGCGGTGCAAACTGATATTGGAGGCCAATCAGTATACTTTGAAGTCATGTGTTGAAACCATGACTGCGGTCACAAAACTTGTCGCCACCGGCTGCAGAGTAGGACAAATGAGGTGCAGCAGTTAAACGCCCAGCTGGCTCTGCTCCAACGCATGTATAAGGATGCGCGAGCAGAGATAAGTGTGCTAAAGGCGGAAAACAAGGAGCTGAAGCGGAAGGCCCGTTATGTTCCGATTTGGAGGGCCGCCATATGCTGCATGGAGGAGCAGGAGTAGTGATCGTGCCCAGTGAGGTGGGAACACGGAGGCAACACCGTCAAGGGCCGCCCAAGACGGAGGCAAGAAGAAAAGACCGGCGGAATAGGGCGAAGAAGTGATGTCGGAGGGTGGCCGTCGGCAGAAAAGAAAACAAAGCTTATGGTGTTTTGTTTTTTTGTTTTGTTTTGTTTTGTTTTTTTTTTTTTTTGTTTGTTTGTTTGTTTGTTTGTTTTTTTTTTTTTATGTTTTTTTTTTGGTGTAAAATTGTGATCGGGGTGGATCCCTGAGAGAAATAAAATATGGGGTGTTGTGCAAATTTGGAAATTTTTTTTTTTTTTTTTTTTTTTTTGTTTTGTTTTTTGTTTTTTGAAAAGAAGGGAATCGAAAATAAATAAATAAATAAATAAATAAATAAGGGGATGGTGATGAAATGATGAGCATGGGGATGATGAAATATATAATGATGAAGAAAAATAATAAAGGTGGGAGTGGAAAAGAAAATATATATATATAATATATAATAATAATAATAATAATATAATATAATAATAATAATAGATAAAAAAATGGGTCAAAGTGGGAGTGTGTGAAGAATTATTATTCTAGAGGATGGTGAAAATATATTGGAGGAATATATTATAAATAAAATATATATATATATTATATTAAAAGAAAAAAAAAGTGGGAAATCACGTGGGTGTTGTGTGTGTGTGGGTGGCCCTTTCCCTCTTGCTGCTGCAGTGTGTTTATGTTTTTATGTTATTTATGAGGGTGTCCTTGAGTGGAGAGAGACAATAGGAGCAGGGAGGTAGACAAGCATTAAATCTGCAATAATGGCCATCACCACATCCGCAAAAAAACAAATTCCAGCTCCTTAAAAAAAAATTTCTTTGTCGATACGCTGCAGCAGTCTTGGTGAAGAGCCCAACAACCACACTCCATGAATACTTTAACAAGAACAGATCATCAGCCAGGTTGGGAGAGAGAACAACTCCCTCGAGAGAGAGAGGTTTTCCACTGTAGGTTCTGATTCAAGCCTAGAGGCTAGACTGTTGGATAATGGTGGCAGCCCCAACCATCCAACAGCAACTGGTGCAGACAGCAGATTGTAAATGGAAGGCAGTCTGCATTCGATGGTGCCACAGCTACAGCTGCTGGAAGTCCTTGCCACCATCAGGGCTCAGTCGTCTCAGAAGAAGAGATCCAAAATCTTGTAGCAATGGGTTTTGAAAGGACACAGGTAGAAGTTGCAGTGGCAGCTGCAGATGGGGATTTAAATGTAGCGGTGGAAAATTCTAATGTCCCAACTGGGGAGTACGGTGGCGATGGAGGCCGCAGCTACAACCACACCGAAGAAGAAACCAAGAAATGGGCTCATCGACGCCATTGGCAACACTCCTTTGATCAGAATCATGATGAGATGGCTCAAGGTGAGTAGTTACAGAGGGGAGTGCTGGGAGCACAGCTATCAGTCGTGCAACTGTGGCTCCGGCCTATGGATGCAAATGCCGTGTGGTTATCCCAGATGACGTTGCTATTGAGAAATCTCAAATACTTGAAGCCCTTGGAGCTACTGTTGAAAGGGTTAGGCCAGTGTCAATTACACACAGAGACCACTACGTCAATGTTGCAAGGAGAAGGGCATTAGAAGCAGATGCCAAAGATGTTGAGCAAATTAATGGTTACACATCCGAGGAGAGAGGATTTGGGCAATGATGGGAAGGTATGTGTAAGAAAATAAGCGGACTAGGTTGAGGTCCGGCGGCTGCTAAGGTGAGGTTGCCGCCCGCTCGGTGAAGCGCGAATA